TTTTTCCGCTTGGGAAGTGCAAGTGTGCGCGAGTTTTTCTACGGCGCTTTTCTTTCGTCGGTGAGTTGGTTTTTCTTCTATTTTTAAGTTACTAAGGTGAATGGTGAGGAAACCTTCGTCTTAACTAAACATAAGCCCCAAACAAAATATAATGAAAGCAAAATAAAAGTAAAATAAAAATAAAGCTCAGACTTGGTTCCTTACAGTATATAAATACTATTTAGTTCAACTACTGAAAAATGCAATGCTGAATAGTAAAACATTCCAAAAATACCTTAAAAATTGCATTAACCACTTTGATCTGTAACATTTCAGCCATATTTAAGACTTTCTTCAGGATAAACTTACAAATGAATGACAACTGTGTTCAAATAGAACAAAAAGTTTAAAACATTCCAGAAAGGTCTGTTAAATATGACTGAAAACCTTAGATATTAAATAGTCAATGCAATTTTTTAGATGTTTTTGGAGTGTTTTACTACTAAATATACCATTAAATAGACTTTGCATTTTATTTTCAACCAATTTAAGATGAATTTTCAGTATAATATAAATTCTAGATAACTCTCGTATCACTTTCATTATTATTATTATTATTTTTTTTTTTTTTTCATTCTATTTGTACTCATATATTCAACATATCTCTTACTAATCTATTCCAAATTCATAGTTTCACAATATAGAAATTGCAACAAAGCTAGATTATCTAATTTTTTAATTTTTATTTTGTATTTCAGTGTCACTCAGTATTATAAATGTGGACATTGAAAATTACATAACCATTATTTTCTTGACCAAAAAAAAAATTAAAAATATCTAAAAATTTGGCTTGTTATATTTTTTTATGTGAATTAAATTTGATTTATCTTGTAGCTTTTAAGAAACAACACTGAAAAATAAAATTGGTAAAGGAGGAGTTTATTCTAACATCTGATACTCTAATAAAATCTTTAGCTTAAAATTAAGTCGAGACACGAAAAGAGTACATTTATGTAAAACTGAATACAGTGGAACTCTGATTGATCGCACATTCACTTATCTGAATCTCCTTTTTATCTCCTACTGTAATTCTCTTAGATTGTTCAACTGCATGATCAGTGGTGCCTATTTGATGAGAGATCCTAATGATCAGTAAGATGCTACTCGCATATCGATGAATAAATAAATCTAATATGTGTACACCACTGTGCTGTTATCTTGTAATTTCATTTTTTATATGTTAATTCATTTATCTGAATTTTCCATTATTCAAATTACTTGAATTTGGATAGTCGGAGTTCTACTGTACTAGAAATTTTGAGTTATGTTTGAATGAAATCGAGACAAGAAATTATACAAAAACTTGTATATTTATCCTAATGTTAATCCTATAACTAAGTAATAAATTTAAAATACTGCTAAAGTTTACATAACAACTCGCAGTTCGAGGAGTGTTTATATTTTAGCTTATTCTTCATTTTAATAATTTTTGTCTGTTGAGTAAAATTAATCAGCTAATAAGCTAGAAGTTGTAATTAGTATGTAATGAATTTATTCAATTATATCTTTATAATTTTTTTTTTCTAATTGCAAAGAGTTAAATCTGATCATCCACTAATATTTACTTTCAAGTTTCGATTTTGATATTTAATTAAAGAATTAACATGGTTTAACACATGCAGAAATTTGTTTTATTTCAGATAATTTTTTCATGCAAATAACTGAGTTAGGCAAAGAATTTACGTCTCTCTTAAGTTAAATTGTTTTGTCGAGAGTATTTTTTTTGAACATTCAGTTTTTGCATAACATTAATTTAAATATACTACACTGTTACTCTTAATTACAATGTATTTTTTTAAAATATCTTGTTATAAGATACTTAATTAGGTATTTAAATTGTATAAATGATAACTTATAAAAGCTATAAATGGTAATTTTTTTCATTAGCAGTGACTGGAGCTTGGCTTGCAAGTTATTCTACACTCCAAAAAATAAGTGGTGTGGCTCATATAAGATGCACGATCATTCAGAGACGATCGTAAAGCCTAGATAACAACACTAAATCCTTTCAGAAATTATAAAAATATTACGTTAGGAGATTAAATCACATTAAATAAACTTAATCTTGGTGACAGCACAAAAAAACATAGCAGGATCTCGATTTTTAAAGTTGAAATGAGAAAAATAGACAGTTTAATCTTGAATCATTTATTGGTGGATGATTTACGTATCTATATAAGATGATCGTAATTGTAAATATGAAGTGTTAAACCTTTCGTTTTTAAGTTTATCTGTTATAATATGAATAAATTAGAAAAGTACAGTACAAAGAAAACTGTATAGAATACAGATTAGTTTTGTAATCTTATATTTAAACTGTGTGTGGATACGTGCATTTGTACAAATTAGTAATATCTTGCTAAGAAAGTATTTAATGCTTCATGTTTATATAAACTTTAAACTATCAAGAATATTGATTTTAAATGTGAAAGTTAAGAATTATAGTGAATTGTCTGTATTTCGTGGTAAAATTTTTTTATTTGTACCATAAAATGTGAACTATAATTCGCATTTTGTGGTACAAATGCATTAAAATTTTTAAACGAATAAATAGAATATATTGTATCCTTTTTTATGATAAATCTTGGGCAGAAATTAAATAACTGAAAAATAAATATTACAATGTTTGTAACTTATTTTTCAGTGAAAAACAATAAAGAATTTCCTATAAAAGAAATAATTATAGTACTTCTAAAATGACGAACATCCACAAAAATAATTATAATTTTAAAATGTTATTTGTATTTATTATTAATTTAAATTCATATATGTATATAATAAAACTTTATTTTTTCGTCAAAAGGTATTTATTGTCGACTCAGACACGTGCTCGGAGTATAAACGACATTATGCCAATGATCGGAGCAAGGTTTTACACACAACTTGATGCTGCACAAATGCGAAGCGACGTAATCGAAAATGAATTAGCAAAGGTGAAATTAACTGGGGGGCACTTCTCGACTTTTTAAGTTTATTGCTATTATTAAATTTTAAATTCATATTTAATCATTAAATTCATATCTCCTTTACAGGGTTATTTAATTGAATTTGTAACACTATTTGAAAGGAAAGTTTCAAAATTTAAGATTGCATAACATTGAAAATAATGATAACATAGAATACTTCTGTGTATAAAGTGTAATCCTGATTTGTGAATATACTGCATGTCTGAAAACCTCCTTTTATGGGAGGTTTAATCAAGGGATACCTGTATTCTAATGAACAAGTATACAGTGTAAATGAAATAAAGAAAATGGAGACTGGAAACTACAAGCTATGAGACCAGAGTACATGGTATTTTCAACCTCATTGCATTCCCAGTTAGAATATTTTGTTCTCATAAATATTGGTTGGTCTTTGTTGTATTTAATTAGTTGATACACCTTTAAATGCGACCTTTTAAAAAGCTTTGACCCCTTTGTTTTCCTTCCAAGACTAGCATTCGTCTGTCGACTGTCCACGCTCGAGGATGGTTGTTAACTGGGTTGAAAGTGTTAGTGCTCCTTTATTTTTATTTTTTTAAGATACTCATATTAAAAGTGCATTAAGTAATTTAACAAAGTTATCATAATGGCTAATACATTATTTTCATGAATGGGGAAGAGGAATAAAATAAAACAGATCATCACATCAAATTCGTGTATGTGGAGTATTCATAAATCAGGGTAACACTGTAGAATTTCTTTTATTAGCTTGTAGTATAAACGTTTGATTAACAGAATAATTATATTATTGTTAATTAAGCAAATGACATACATTGAATTTCAATACATTAAACATTTCTAATATACAAAAGTAAAAAAAAAATCTTAATTCTCAAAGACTTTAAATTAATGTAATGTTTTCATATTGTTAAAATTAAGAAATCAAACTATTAAATATGTTTTGAAGATCAATTTTATTAAAGTCTTTAAGGATTTAATGCTTAATATAGTTTATTGAGAGGTTTTAGATAATTAGAAATTTATATTTTTATGTATGATTATATTATTTATAAGTCGAAATGCACAGAAGAATTGTATAATATATTTCCTACTAAAATTGATGAAATCATTTTCATCAATTAAGTAATATAATCTTACATAATTATAACATGATTATTAATTTAATCATATTGTGTATGTATATATGTATGTGTGTGTGTATATATATATATGCGTGTGTGTTTTTACAGCAGAAATTACATCGTATGAAATAATGTACTGTACAATGTTTTGTATTTTTATTATATATTTATTTTTTAGGAAGTCGAAAATGGAAGACTTTTTCGTCTACTTGTAAAATTGGGAACAATAAATGAACGTTCAGAGTAAATATTAATTAAATACTTGCGATACTATAATTAAAATTATTTAGTTTATTTATCTTGTTAAATATCTTCAAATAACTTTTAGGATGTTTTAATATGATATCTTAGCAAATTTTTTAAGCAAATTTTTAATCATTAGCAAATTTTTTAAACAAAACTTAATTAGACAATTAAAATTTATTTTAATTGTCTAATTAAGTTAATTAAAAAGAAGTTTGTTTATAGTTTTCTGAATTTATTACTGAATAGTTGATACCTCATTTATTTTTAATAATAAAATCAGTAATTAATGTCAGGAACTGTAAGTTGAACATAAAAAAAATATTGCTGATAATGGGATTCATTTCAAAACCGTGCATAAACTTAGTGTATACCAGCATTGTAGTCATACCAGGGCATACCACGGTGACACCCTGGGCACTTTTTTAACAATTAAACATTTATTTCACTAAATCTTATTGTGTGAATACAATCATAAACTAATAATGTAAGTCTAATTCTACCTTATGTGCCTATCAGAGAGAGAGAGAGAGAGCGCTTACACACATTGTGTTATAAATACCTGCAGTATTGCTTCAATATCTGGCAATCTCCAGCTGAGTCTTGGAAGTTGTAGTAATAGAATTCTTAGGTACAGGTGGAAGAGTTTGTGGAGCCTGGTCCAAATTTTTGGATGTATACAACCTGTCGACAGTATGATCAGGCTCACCCGAGTGGAGCAAGAGGGATTAGCGGATAGTTGGGAAACTGAGAAGGCTAATAGTGGCGCAGAGCATTATGGTGGAGGGTCACCACCATGATTAACAAATGGACAAACTCTATCTGTAATAATTTTTTCACCTTTCCTTTTATTTGGGGTCTTGTCCCTCTCCATCCATATGCCTAAATTTGGTAAACTTTTGAAGGGAGCTGGGTGATAGTTCCAATCTCCAATTTGATATTTCCTTTGATGAGTGGGTTTTTGCTGGAAAATGTGTCATTTACAAAGGAAATGTTATCAAAAAGAAAATCTTAGGAACTTCCTCTGTTATATTTGTCATCTCGAGTGTAAATGATTTTCTGTTTAATATTTGTTCAAATAATTAAATTGCCAAGAATGCTTGCTTGGGTTCTCAACAATGGCAATTGAAATTCAGGGTGTCAGTTAGCACACTGCCACTTTTTCATTTACGACTACATCCCTGCTATATACTCTCACATTTATACGTACATTGCAATCAGTTACTATGTTTTTTTGTACTGTAATAAAATACCATGATACTGTTCTGATATTTTGAATTTCAAACAAACATTTGATATTTTTTCAGTAAAGATTCATAAAACACACAAATAGTCAACTATTCTGAAGGAATATTGCAGTCTTTATGCGAAACTGATTTTATTGTTGATTTTTATTTATTTAATTGATTATTAATTCACTCAAACCTTATTATCGGTAGCTGCTTTGTTTAGCCACCATTGTCACCACCACTCATCTCTACAACTATATGAAAAAATTTAATGAAATTAAATATATTTATGGCCACGATTTTATTACTGGAATGAAGTGATGACATATTTGAATAATTAGAAATACAGATTTCTGATAGGAGAATATTATTGTTAATTATACAGGATGTTTTTGAAAGGTCTCGCCAAACTTTAACAGCATATTTTGTGTCATAAAAATGAAAAAATTATATATAAACATAGAACTGAAAATTCTTCCTTTTCAAGTTAGAGCAGTTTGAAAAATTCTCTGTACAGGTATTGCACTTCACTTGTATTGTGAATGTCCACCATTTCAGAGTTAGAGTAATGGTTCATCATATTAAAGAACACTTAAAATATCACTTGAAAACATGGTCGTTATAACCACAGCTTGCTATTAATTTGTATTACATAAAAGTTGTTAATTGAAGCGGAGCATTAGCAGAACCTCAGGCTTATGGAATTGTGCTTGTTCTCAAAATCTGTTCAATTGATTTTGATTAAATTTTACCATTTTCCATTAATTGAGGTGAGGAATCCAAGTATGTAATAAAACATGGGGATCCATGACTTTGTTTTTGAGATATAAGGTCATAGCATGAGCATGTGCAACAAAACAATGTTACACAATCACTAGCACGACTCCTATGGATTTAAAGAATTGAGTTAANCGCCGAAATGCGGTAATGATTTTTGATAATTTTTTTAATAGAAAGTTGTTATTGTTTTTTTCCAATTATTTAATATTTCTTACTTCAAATAATGCTTTTATTTTTAGCTTCAATTTTCAGTTTTTGCTACGTTGATTTGTAAGCTTAATATATTTTTTTTAATATCGTGTTTTATATATTGCCAACTAGAATTAGCTACCCAGGTTCTTTCGAAACAAATGCTACCATTTTAAACTACCTTAATTATGTTAATAATTATCCAAGAAGTACGCAACATACACTGATCGACAGAGTAGCTGTTTGAGTTTCATTTCCCATCAGTTTTTGAACATCTTATTGTCTACTGCCTCTAGGAAGTGCCATTTGTAATGTCGGAATTGCTCGTCAATGTGAGTAATCGGCAAGAGCTGAGGAGCTATGGAAACATGGCTGCTGTGGGAGGAGTAGCAATGGATATGCCTTAGCAAGTATAGGAAGAATTTGAGTGTCTGGTTGGATGTTAGCCATGTGAATGAAGTGTGCACACTGAGAAATTGTAATGAGCAAATGCAAAACTTAGACAGTTTTCTAATGCTTTAGTGTATGTTACAGTGGTCTTGGAATATTACAATAATTTAAAATGGTGGGCATTTTTTTTGGAAGAAGACTCCGTATTAACAAGTTTACATATCCAAAACTTTTAATCTCTACATCTTTTTGCTTTCTTGGAGACCAAATGAATATCTTTCTTAAATTTTAACTATAGAAAAACATTCATATAGTCTCCAAGCAGAAGAATATAGTTGAGAAATAAGAGGAGATCTACGATTGTTAATTTTGTTTGTTTAATTAATCCTTTATCGTACTTTGAAAATGATAAATTTTAATCGATAATTATTTAATTCTGATTATAAATTATAATTCGATCTTTTGTTTGATGTTAAAGCCGAAGCTGGACCGAATACGGCTCCGAAAACATTTCTCAAAATAAAAGTTTGGCTCCTTAAACGAGGTTTGAATTTGTTTCTACAGATTTTAATGACGATCGTTATTACTTTATCTTTTTTTTAACATATTAATTATGTGACGATGAAACTCTAAGGCGATATTAACTATACTAAATTCATTTGTAAAGATATTAAAGAATTTTTTTTTAAATATTTGGCAGTTTTTATTTATTTTTTGTTTTTTATTTTTCATATACTCTGAAATTTTTGTAAATTTATGTTTTTGAGTAACGACTTAAATTAATTTGAAACAAAATTAACTGGCATGTATTTTTCTACTTAAAATTAGGCAGTGAATATTTTTATAATTTATATTAAATATTAATATTTCTATTTTATTATATTTATTACATTACATGATGATGATATAATTTTACATGTTAGTGAATATTTTTATAGTATTTAGTAATTTTTCATTGCACTTGCTAAATAAATATTAATAAATAAGAGTGTAAAAGAAACTCGTCATACTGTTGTTATTTCATGCTTCCCTACTAGAACCAAATTTTGTTTTAATCATCAATCCTCACTTTTATTTTGAATTATTTCAACTACTTGTGTGGAGTTTGATGTTTTAAGTCAAAACTTGTGACATTTGATCCTTGATCTTTATTAATTTATTATTAAAACCTTATTCTCTTATTCTTTGTCAGACACTGCCTCTTCTATAGGATCAGTCAGTGACCCCATAAGTCATGGAATAAGCAGTATATGTTTTGACATAGCATTTTTTTGCTGCCAACTCTTTCTTTATATCTATCAGGTTTTGGATGGGATTTATAATAGCACCAGAGATGTTTTTCTCACACAGACTAAAGACTGGACCCTATGTCGATTAACTTACTGACAAGAGAATCAGTTGTTTGGTTTGGGCTGTTCATTGCTTATTAAAACCTTACTAATTTCATTTAAAGCAAATGAATTACTTTCACTTAATAATGTAGTTTATCAATTAGTTTTTGTATTAAATTGTTCCCACTGTTGTCTGTCTGTCAGTCCATATTTCCTTAATCTCAAGGTTGATGTTAGATAAATGGAATTCAAGACCCCGATTAACTATATAAGAACTTCCAATGCAAACCAGAAATCACGTTACTTTAATTCAAAACTTTTCCCCTGAAAGGAATTAGATAGATGACCAGCTTGACTCCATTGTTAACAGGAGAAGTATGATGTACAGGAGCAAGACACTATAGTACTAATTTGATGTAGAGAGCCTGTATTTTAAATGAAATAAATTTAAAATATGATTAGAAATTGTCACCCAACATTGTGACAATGCCACAATAAATAATTGCTCATTTTTAATTTATTGTGATTTTAGAACCAACGTACTATATAACTGCTAGCACACCTGGTATAAAAATAACATACCATATGCTAGTTTATTCTTGTGATTTTACTGGTCAAGTTTAGGTTGAACAATCTCTGTCACAAATATTAGGATTAAGTGATGGCACAAGATGTAAAATGGAAAATAAAATCACGTTGCCGAAATTTCCAAGGGCTGTGTATTAGGACCTTGCAGGCTGTGNCGTCTTAACTAAACATAAGCCCCAAACAAAATATAATGAAAGCAAAATAAAAGTAAAATAAAAATAAAGCTCAGACTTGGTTCCTTACAGTATATAAATACTATTTAGTTCAACTACTGAAAAATGCAATGCTGAATAGTAAAACATTCCAAAAATACCTTAAAAATTGCATTAACCACTTTGATCTGTAACATTTCAGCCATATTTAAGACTTTCTTCAGGATAAACTTACAAATGAATGACAACTGTGTTCAAATAGAACAAAAAGTTTAAAACATTCCAGAAAGGTCTGTTAAATATGACTGAAAACCTTAGATATTAAATAGTCAATGCAATTT